CGTATGTACAATGCCGTGGTGGCCTGGAGGTTTAAGACGTCCGCTTCTCATGCATGAGGGTGCAAGTTCGAAACCTACCAACAGCAAGTACCAATGAAAGGCTCATTGGTACTTGCTGTTCCCGAGTTATATGTAGGTACTTTCTAAAAAGAAATTTTTTATCACGGACAAGCGGTGCTTAATTAACTCGTCGAGTACCGGTTTTGTAGACACAATTATAGAACAATAGGTTGCGGTCACCGGTGACCGCTTGGTGTTTGACAGTTTAATGCTTCTACGTGCCTCAAGTGGTATTCAGTCAGGAGTGGCCACTTATAGAAATAAAAGAAGAGGATCCATAGGAAAAGATATTGGTTTACAACCACATTAGGACATTTCTAACACTGTACTAGCTACCAAGTATAGGTAACCATTTAAAGCTTGTATGCACTAATGGAACTATAACAAAACGTTTTCATAAGGAGTATTTAGATCTGCCGTCCAAGAACTGTTAATGACATACGTTCTGAAAAAGATGAGAAAAATGATACTTACACGTTATAAAATGATACAACAATAATGATCTTTATGGTTCGATTATTACATTCTTTTTCGAATTTTGAAATCAATAAGTTTTAGGGCACAACAGTGATCACATGATGACAGTCGACCCCTTTGTTTTGGAAATACATAATAACTTATCATTAAAAGGTTGATGTATTACTTGCCATAATATGATTAATTAGTCACGGGCACATGTTTTCAGAAAGTCATCTATTAGGTACTTAGGACTTAAATCAAGAGAGATATACTTTGATGCCTGATGGAGTTAAAAATAATTTAGCTTTTGTCTCGTATATCCCATGACCTCTGAATTGCATGTGATATTAAACATTAAAGATGCAGTTAATATTGATTCTCTTTAAACAAAATTTTATGCCTAAAAGTCATTTTTGAGATCCTTCCGAAAGACTTGCAAAATTAAATCTGGAGCTATTTATTTATTTGTTTATTTATTAAGCTTCATACGCTTAACTAACACAAAGGCGAAAATCTAAAGAAATTGCTAATTTTGTTTTTTTTATTTAATTAGAATAAGCAGCGCCTGTTAAAGTATGTACTTAGTTACTTTTGATTTTTTTTTCTCTCTTTGGCAACCGAGTCTTCAATACGATGTTGTCGACTATACTGCCAGTGTCGAGTGCTGACGGCAGATTAACGAACGAACCGTAGAACTTTACTTTGCGGTACATAGCTTCATTTGAAAATAAGTGTCCCACGACGATTAATTTCAAATTTCGTGCAGCGGCCATCTTGGATTTACATAGTAACAGCACTAAAATTTTCACTACCCTCGAAAACTAGAGAATCGACATCCAATTTTTTTTTTTATTTGATGGATGTCGGCCCTTCATCCCTCATATTGTTTGATTACTATCTCGTCTGGTGGTAAACAAAAAAATTAAAAATTTCGTGCAGCAATCTTGGATTTACATTTTGACAGTGTATGAAAATGAATAACCTTCAAACTGTTTTAACTTCCTTATCTTGGATCCTATAACTTTTACGCATGTTAACTTGAGCCCGCTATTATTTATGATATCTTGATAAAGTGATTCACATTGGCTAAGCAATTTGGTTAATACTACAATAATAGACTGCCTTGTTGGCAGAGTTGTCGCAAGTGCGACTACCAGGGGTCTCGGGTTCGATTCCCGGGTAGTAGTCACGAAGTCTGGTTCAGTTCAGTCTGGAATTGTACCTGGTATATGGCAATAGGCTCACCCCTTATTACATAGGACTTATAACATAAACAGTGAAAAGTGCCTACCCCTTCGGGGACAAAAGGAGTGATGTTATGGTATTTTAATAAATAGTATATATCTTTCATTTGAAACGTAAGTGCATAAATGCTACAAAAAGCTAGCATTGGTAGGGTTGTTAGTGAACAAAACTAAAAAAAGTTACAAAAGAGACAAAATATTGTATAATGACCAGTTGTTATGGATAATATGCCTAATGGTGACGGTTTGTGGGGCTTAGATTATAAGATACTTATTTTAATGATATAAAGATGAATAAATAAAAAATTAAAATATTATCGTCAGTAAAATACACGATGATGAAAATCCTTCTTGAAGGTTGAAAAAAACACCATCTGTGAAATACAACTGACAACCCCTTATATATGAGTTTACGCAAGAAAACCATGGTAATAGATGGCTCTGTTCTCAATTGAACATACACTCATCAGACCGGCTTATTTCTGGGGCCGTATCGCCGGGTTGTACTTATGGTTCCATTCATGTTAATGCATAGTACATAGATATATTTTAGTCCGCTGGACTCTAACACCATAATATTTATATAACATATAATAATATAACTCATAGGTATACTTGCTCGGTGACCACTTAGCGTATACATTATACAATCAGATCAGCAAAAGCTGTAGTAAAACCGAGCATTGAAATAAACATGAAGATACAGTCTCAGCCCAAAACTTTCCCCTTATCTAACAATTTGAACTGCAGAAAGAGTTCAGTCATCGTGAAGCGGCTCTTCCGTCGGCGCCGGCCTTTTCTGCACGATACAAAGCAACTCGTCGAAACCATTGCGACATCCGCTAAAGTCCAACCATCGGGGATAAATCTGGTAAAGTATGGTGGCCTAAAGGATAAGGCCTCTTTTCAATCACGGACCATTGTGCGTTCAAACCATATTATGACAAAACTGTCCAAAAGTAATACAACACTTGAAAGCTAAAAAGGTAGGTATGCTTTAATAAAGCAATCAGTTAATCAGCAATCAATCAATTTCTGGGTGTGTGAAAACCGTGGTGAAAACCATATAATCATCTCGAAGATTTCTCACATTGAATTTTAAACCACTGAACAAATTCATTGACATACAACATTTAAAGAAAGAACAAAACAACAGTGATACTTTGGTTTTCAACTGCTATTTATATTTAACAGAGTAACAGAGATATTCTGCTACGAAATCCCTGAGATAAGCCGAAAACAAGACAATATGGAGGGATATAACACAGAGAGCAATGATAGCTTTTCAGGGTCACGACCTTCAGAAATGAAGCAAGTGATCGAGAAGAGATTGTAGTTAAATATAGATATCATATTTAAATCTCAAATTAACGGCTGGGTTGAAGCCGTGCTTTTCAAAATGTGGGATGACCTTAAGACAATTATATTCGTGTTCAATACCTACCCAAGTGCTCATCTAATTTTCATAACTGTGTAGACAATGTATAATAAAGATACAACTGATATAATAAGAAATATCATACCTACTATTAATCAGACTGCTGTAGCCGCTTTACCTATATTTCAGATTTTTACTTTACAGATTTGTGATTACAAATTGAAAATTTTGAATGTGAATGCACTATTCTCAAGCAGTACACACGATTCCTATATCTGGAGCAACTCTGCCGAATTACCTTTACTACATAATCTCCATAATGCTGGATGTAGCTACCAACTATCAGTTATTGGGAATGTACTATACTACTATCTTATCAAATTTATCTCAAAACTTGATGATATAATAAAATTGCAGTACAGATTTTGTTCTATACTAATTACCTAGTACACATACTTTTACCAACTATGATACAGCTGAGCTTAACTCAATACTTTATTGCATTCCATAATGTATTTTACAACAGTTGGCATTGTTACAAGGTACAGAAACAATTAAGTATAATTATTAAACTTGGAGGAGGATGACGAAGAGAATACGGCGCGTTTCTCTACAAAGAAGCACTATAGAAAACGCTATCCATTATTGAGCGCTGCTATCGAGTGCTAAAGGGAGGGAAAGATTTAGATGTCATAACGAACAGGGTTTTACATTATACACCTAATAAGGCCACTAAAATAAATTAATGTCTACTCTGTGTTACCTACACAATTTGTGTATAGCCCACTATTTTGATCTTACTGATAATAACTTACTGACTGCCTCGCTGACCGAGTGGTCGCAAGTGCGACTGCCGAGCAAGGGGTCTCGGGTTCGATTCCCGAGTCGGGCAAAGTATTACTGGGTTTTAAAAAAATTCTCAGTAGTAGCACGAAGTCTGGAATTGTGCCCGGTATATGGCAATAGGCTCACCCCCTATTACATGGGACTCATAACATAAATAGTGAAAAGTGGGTGTTACATTGTACAGTGGTATAATGTGCACCTCTGCCTACCCCTTCGGGGATAAAAGGCGTGTTATGTTATGATATTCCTGAAGAAAGAGAATTAGGTATAATTAATTGTGTCTTAAAAGCAGATTTGCATTGATTAATGGGAGTGTCCTGACCCCATCCGAAACACTGCATGCTGAAGCGCATTCCCCAAGGTCCTCGTAAAATTCTATAACGTGGTCATTGATCCTACCGAAACAGTACCTATATGCTATGGCAATATTACCTAACTCATAATTACAATTTGGATGTTGATTACTTATATTTAACCCCACAACACCACAAGAAGAGAAATATAATAGAAGCCACATCCGTACCCCGAACACAGTGGAAAGGCGTTTCGGTTTACCTATTAAAGCAACGGTTTCATTGCCTATTACGAGGCATGTTTGGGAGGGATACTGAAACAGAAAAAATAACAATTGTTGCATGCGCTAACCACCACAATATTCCTATTGATATGAGGGAAGATCTGTTCCCTGGTGAAGAATACAACAAAGAACAATCTTCGTCTTTTTTTTTAAGGGTGGAAAATCATCGAATGACTGCTCCCGCCTGGGTGAGGCGGGAGGGAGTATCAGACTCTTACTGACTAAAAACCACCCCGTTCCTTCTTCTGCACGTTGAGCCGGAGCCCCGGTTACCCGTTAGCTTCTCCGCGACAACAATCTTCGTCTAGTGAACCTATAGTACAAACGTATACTCCAGCTTCTGGTAAGGGAAAAGGCAGTTTATAGAAACTCTTTCTCAGTAAAAAAAATTATAACTTTTTATTATTGAAATTAATCTGATATAATCACTTCTTATTTTAATCTTTAATTACTTAAATATCTGCAGCAAATAAAAGTACCTGAAAATAAAAATTTCACAAATCAGAATAGGTATTTACAAACATGTTAATAATTATGATCTAAAATTGAACCATTGGTATTTAATATAGTAATTCACACTAACTGTATATAGGAGTATAGCAGTGAACTGAACTGTGAATAACTACAGTATTAAAATGAAGTTAAAGTTACTGTAAGATTTTACGGTAAACTTTACATTAATTAATTATTTCCTAGCTGCTTCTGTTATTTTTATAGTCAAACTAGTCATATTATTATAATTTGTAACCTAATTTTACTTATGATGACTACCTGCTTCCATATTAGAGGGTCTACTATGCAAAGCTTTAAGGTATTTGCTTAATTATTGGTTAAGATACAAGAGTCTTTTATTGACTGAGACTACCTCGTTGGCCGTGTGGTCGCAAGTGCAACTGGCAAGTCAAGGGGTCTCGGGTTCCATTCCCGGGTCGAGCAAAATGTTACTGAGTTTTTATAAAAATCTCAGTAGCAGCACGGAGTCTGGAATTGCGCCCGGTATATGGCAATAGGCTCACCCCCTATTACATGGGACTCATAACATAAATAGTGAAAAGTGGGTGTTACATTGTATAGTGGCATTAAGTGCCGTAATGTGCACCTCTGCCTACCCCTCGCGTGATGTTATGTTATGTAGTCTTTTATTGGTCCATAAACTATTGGATTCGGCCATAAGCATGTACATGTAGAATAAAAAAAACTACTTACTTACATTTTATTAATCAGTGTTGGAGTCTTTCTTACTTTCCAATTTACTTATTTCTAATTCATTTTTTTTTTATTTTTAATTTTGCTAAAGGCATGTTATATTCATGTTCCTTTTCCAATTGTTAAATTTTTAATTTTGCTATTTTTATGTTATATGTGTGTTCCTCTTCCAACATTTCTAATTGTCTCTTCTTAAAATCATTATTACTTTCTATTATTGACTGCTGCATTTCATCACTTCTGTAAAAAGTAAAGCATGTTCAAATATGTAATGAAAATGTGTATGTACTTAAAATTAAAATGCATTGACAATGTCCTGTGGCCAAGCTGGCCAAGCAACTGAACCCACAACTTAACCCATACTTATTCACAGGAAGTATTGTATTTATAAAGTATTTCTACATACCAATTTTGCAGGCTAGTTCTCCTTTTTTTTACTGTGATAATAGGCTCACTGTCCATCGAAATGATTCTGGTGCGTTCTGTATGTGTGGTTGGATTGGTTTATTTAATTAAATATTGCAAACATCAAAAAAATCTTGTGTTTGTATTGGATTATAATTAAAATAATTTGGCTGCATCATTGCCCAAAAAGAATCTTAAAATTAGTCCACATGAACTTAATGCTTAGATAGTACTAATTCATCAAGATAAGTCTAAAGCATTTATAAAGCCAGCAGTCTAATCTTTATATTTCTGCAGCACACTGGGGTTTGGGTTCGGGGGGTGTTACTTTGGACGTGTCTCTTTGGACAGGATAGGTAAGTTTGTCATATACGGAATTGACATGTCTACAATTTATTATAAGTATAGAAGATATATATAGATTAGTAAATTCATAATTCAGTAAAAAGTTCTGTTGTTCTTTAAACATAATGGAAATAATTACATGTGTGTGACTAACACCTTACTGTATGCATAGGAGGGTCTTGTCAGAGCAGTATACATTTACCGGTATAAATTGTTGACATGAAAATTTAAAAACAATTGATGATTTTGCTTTTCTCAGCGAATTAATATTTAGGTAACAGTAACTGCAGGACAAAACATGAAGAAATGACTCCACAAGTTTTGTATGACTCTAGACATTACACAACATAGTAATAAACTGCCTCCGATTAAACTGCGAGCACACATTAATGAAATGGTCCAAGTAGAAGTTAATAGAGGTAATTTTTATTCTACATTCAGAACTGGATTCAATAAAACCCTTCCACTGCATCAGCAAGATTTTGAAAACTTTCTATTTGGGCTACCTACAAAGAAAAAACTACAATGAACATTTTTAAAAGCAGAAAATACATTGGATCTGCGTTTAAGCACACAATGGGTTAAACTATTTTGCAATTTTTTCATAATACACTTACAATGGAAGAATTTTTAGAGAACTCCCTATTTTTGCTATAATAAAGGGGAATGCCCAAAAAAGACCCAAGAGTCTATTAAAATCATCCATGAACAATATAATAGACCATAAGCAAGAGGTCACAAATACACTATTCGTTTTGGGCAAATCCATAACCGAATGCACCAAGAGCCTGCCTGCAGTATATTACAATTTTATATAGGCACGCGAATAATTGATATTTTTTGGTTCTATGTTAGTTCCTAAACTAATAAAAGCGAGGGAGAATACAGATAACAACTAATTACATTTATTACCAGAGAATAACAAGCAATCCACCCCAAACCTAGAATATTAACAAAATAATCATACTACACATATGTGTGATTTAGTGTGAAATTGACTGTTAAATCTCACAAAGATCATAAAAAGCAAGGTCCTGATAAACTGGACACTATTTTTATTACTTTGGTATCAAAGTAATAATTGTATAATTATTATTAGCAATAATAACAAAACAAAACTATCACCTATTATCGCCGAAACAACAACTTATAAAATTGCACTCGATCTGCTTATCATAACATGGCATAATACAAGCAAGAAATGCTTGGAGACTTGAAATACCGTCGTCAAAACCACTAAAATAGTTCTGTTCCTTAAAATTGGATGAGATAGGAATTTTAAATTGATTTGATACCAATTTAAATTTCAATCCATCAACCGATTCTTTCATAGTGATGGTTAACTCGAGTTGGACGTAACTCGAATCCACTCGAGTTGAATTCTCTCTAACTCGAGTTCGAAAACCGAATAATTGCCGGGAAAATATTTTTCTTTTTGTTTTAAAATCATTTGACATTTTCCTTTATAGTACCTAGTACCTACGATATATTTAAGACAAAAATATAATATATAATTTAACTAAGGAAAAAATATTGTTTGTGATACTAATTATTTTATTTTCTTTTAAAATATTGTGATTACTGATTATAAAACAATTATGAGCCTGTAAATGTACCTATGTACATACTTGCATCATAATGTTAGTCTGATTTTATTTTAAAAAGACTGCTATATAATTTCATAGTTTAACTGATAGTAAATATTATTTTTAATTAAAATTCGAGCCAAAAATACTTAATTTAATGATTCGATTTCAAACAATAACTTTTTTGTTTCTTTAGTTAGTAGGTATAACTCTCCCAATACATTATAAATAAATAATATAAAAAATATAGAATTGAAACAGATAAAAATATAATTTGTCTGTTCCAATTTTTTAAAGTATTTATGCCAAGCTGAGGGAATAATAAGGAAAACACTCAAAAAAACATTCAGTGGTCCCTTCAGTTAACTCGAGTTACGTAATTCGAGTTCAAACCGGGTTACGTGGATTTTAACTCGAGTTAAATCGAGTTTTGTTTTTTCCGAGTTGGCACATCACTATTCTTTCACACCAGATGACAGATTAGAATTCGCATGCATGACATTTGTTTGACATGACTAGGGTTAGGGTTGCCAATTTTACTGAGACTTGCTCAGAAATCTTATCTGTTTGCAAAGAAATGATGACGACACATTACGAAAAATGGCAAATCTAGCTACTAATATTTAAAAAAATAATGTTCGCATAGTTTGTCAAATTAAGAATGACGACGAATGTTTGAGGCACTAACAACCACGGACGTATTATACTAATGTTAGTACGTCCATCCTAACAACACTAAAACTATGGCAACACTCAACATAAGTACGTTAAGCCTTGTTATGTGCGCACCAATACCAGCGCAGTGCTAGCGCTGGTATTTTAGTCGAGTAGCAAATATTTAGTAGCCTTCTTTGCTTTCACTTCTGTTCCAATGTTCCAATATACACGCGAGAGAGCTACTAAAACTCGCGACTCGACTAAAACACAAGCGCAGTGCGTAAATGGCTTTAAATTCAGCTGTGACCGAGTTTGTTTGCGAAATGTATTTTGGTATAAAGATACTAGATTCGAATTTTAAGTAAACAAAATATAGAAGTTTATTAGACATGCAAAAATACAATTTGGAGTGGAGCTCGACTGACTATATTTCGAGTATAAATAGTCAACCCCCCGCTTCCTCACAAGTGTTGCCAGGTTTACGTAGCTTTACGCAGGACGTCACGATTTGTCCCTGATCGGGACGCCAAATATCCCGATAAATCGATTAGATAAAAACATTACAAATAAAATATCTATTAAACCTCGTCAGGATAGCGGTCACTTTACTACGCGATTATTCATCAATAACTATATTTAAAATTATGAGACAATATGGCAAGTTTTTGTTGTTTGTTAATGTAGCACAAGAACACACAAGTGCTTCTGGACTGGAGAACATCGAGAGGCTCTGGGTGTTGCTCGCGTGCTCTGAGGATCACCAACGCTTTTGTGGTGCTTCAAAGCTTACCAAGTTGTACTGATGCAGTGACGACATGGGATGAATCACGTCATCATTTTCACAGTGACTGCATTGAGTACATATCTGTAAATGCCGGCGCTTGAGACGCCAGCATTTGACGCTGCGCGTTGTCGCGTTCGGACTACTGAGAATTTTTAAACCGATCCGGGGGTCTAGCCAGTTTAAATATCTCAGCAGTATTCAGTACTGTACTTGTGCATCTACTATCGCTCTTGCATTTTGAGGAGTTGAGGAGTGCTGCATCTTTTCGCTATGATACTACGTGACGTAATTCCATTCCTATAGCTTAGATTATAAGAAAGCCTACGGTTTTTATCTAACTTTCTGTCTCGCTCAGCAAAATTGTGGAAACTGATTGCTAGTAGGTATTTTCCCATCGAAACGACCTACGTACTACCAAGAATAGAGCACATTTATTTCTAAAAAGTTTTATAGTACTGATCACTTGCCATCAGATATGGTCCGCCTGTTCAATTGTGCACTTTTCTAAAATAAAAAGACGAATAACATTAATTTGGTATCAGTATCGTTCTTAGAACACGATTCACTCATTTTGTTTCTAAATAAGCAATGTAGTTGGTGCTACTCGTATGGATAGACATAAAAATTATATAAGTAGGCACTTGCAAAACAGTAAAATAATAAATAAAAACACCTCTATGATTTTGGTTTTGTCCCGATCTACGATCCGAAAATCCCGATTTATTTTACCTTACGTACCGATTTAAAAGAAATCGGACCTGGCAACACTAGACAAAGTTCAAATGTCAAGTTATTTGTTTAAAATAACTTCTATTTTGAATAATTTATGTTAGGAAATGAAGTCAACTCCCTCCAGTGCAAAATGAGGGTGGAGTTAATGAAAAGTATCGTAAAAGTGAAAATAACTATACAAATAACACAATATACCTACCCGAGAATCAATACCCTTCCTAAAGTCGGAAATTATTGTTTTGAATAGTTTCTCTCTATTGTTTGACCTAATACGCAATGTAATTTCTATTCCAGGATCCCATGAGTTTGCCTAAGCCAGCTTTTCTACATAACACACCACCTCTCCTCCATTAGAGGATGAATAGAGTGGCAAAGAAGACTAAACTTAAACTGACAAAATCGTTCTTGGAACTTGATAATAAAACGAGATATTCTAGGAAGTGTCAGAAAAGATTATGCTGATAGTATCAGGAGAGTGCTGACACGGTGCTCCTTTATACTTATAAAGGCGTGTAAACTTTTACACCATCTAACTTTGTTCATGTGAAATTGAAACAAATCATTCTTAGAGTGATTTTTCAAATGCCAGAAAAATTTTAACTGAGGAATAAGTTTGGCAATTTGACCACTACTCTTCCATACTTTTTAGTGGGGGAGAGCCATGCTTCGGCACAATTGGCTCGACTGGAGTTATACCACGGCCTCATAGAATAACAATGTTAAACAACACTTACATTGTGTTTCATCTTGTTGGTGAGGTTACCGGAGGCCCAGTTACAAATATTAGTACTAGTCTTCTTGTTTTTTGTCCATAGTTTAAGCATAATAATGTATTGTTATATAGTTAATAATCAATCATAATTTTACATTAACTCGTTGAGTACCTTCGGACACAATTATAGAACAATAGGTTGCGGTCACCAGTGACCGCTTGGTGTTTGATAGTTTAATATTATAAATTGTAATACTAACAATACCTCCATTTAAAAATTTAAGTGGAATCTTATTAAATTATTCTTATTCAAATAGAGTATTGAGTATTGAATCTACTGATTCTGTTTACTAACACATTTCTAATCACTTTTTATCCTATCCTACAATACATAATGTATGTTCAAATTTCAAAGATAAGTAGGTATATGAGGTAGTTTTTTAATTTTTTTTTATTTGCGCTTGTTGTTTGGAGACATTAAAATTTATGGTTATTAATTATGTTCTCTTCCAGGTAATCTGCAGGTTGTAATAGGTTAGGTATGCCTGTTTATATAATTCACGCTTCATATAAGTTATTACAAAATTTATACCTAGCTCCGTGAAGGATTTCTGTACCTTAGACAGTCGAAATTGTGGTACTTAGGTATAGTTAACTTGTATTAAATTAGATATCTCCTCTATCTATCTTTCCTATCCTCCAATAATATGGGAGGATATTATAATGCATGTTCAAAGAAAGATGTGTACATAGGTATATGAGGCATATAAAAGTTATCTAGTGGTTTGGGCACATTAACTCGTCGAGTACCGGTTTTATAGACACAATTATAGAACAATAGGTTGCGGTCACCGGTGACCGCTTGGTGTTTGACAGTTTAAAATGTATGACTAAATCAAACACAACTAAGGTGTTACTTTTAACACAATTTTCGGTGGCAGAGTGGGGTATGGGTATTTGCACAGCACCACCATCGGTTTTTCTTTCGCCCAATAGATTTGTCAATAGTTATCCTATCCATCAACGACGACAAAAGACAAGCAATTTAGTATGAATGTTGGGCCAATTTTCAATGTTGTCCAAAAGTTATGAAACAGACGTCATATAAAAGCTTTGGCGAGTAGGTACTCTATTTTATTCTAAGTTTAAATTCAGAACGAAATTGGTATTTTCTTACGTTGTATAAATGAAAAATACTACGCTCTTGTTTTATTATTTCAATATCAATAAAAGGTAACTGTTACGATTTTGTGCTGTGTATTCTTTAATCTTTAAGCACCGTCAGCTAAAATTAGTTGGTTTAGTTTAGTTTATCGTGTATGAGGGTGCGGGTTCGAAACCTACCAACGGCTAGTGCCAATGTGACTTTTTCCGAGTTATATTATGTACCTACTTTCTTAGATTATTTAGACACCACTGATAAACGGTGAAGGATAACATCGTGAGGAAACCTGGACTACTATAATTTCTAATTATAAGTTTGAAATCACCAACCCGCATTGTGCAAGCATTGTGATTAATGCTTAAAACCTTGTTGATGATGATGACATAGTTGAGCGTATTTTTCTTAGGTGAAGGAATACTTTTGATAAAGTACCTAAGTAGTTGAAATATATAGGTATGTGAGCTAAACAAAACTAAAATTTAGGTGGTGAAGTGGTTCATCATCAACAACAGTCTATAAGTGCTCACTGTTGAGCTAAGGCTTCTTTTCAAACTTAGAAGGTCTGACTTGCTCAAGCCAGGTTCGCGATCACACACTCATAACTAGACATTATATGCCCAGGTTCCTCACGATATTTTCCTTTACCGTCTGTCATAGTCGTGTCTATCTATTTATTAAATGGGTGGTATTATATATGTGAACCTTCTTGAATTACCTACTCTATTTAATAAAAAAAAACTACATCAAAATAAGGATATATAAAGCGTAAAGCGATTCTGTTTTATACTACTTACCTATGTAGATAATGATATCTGAAGAATATGGAGTTAAAAATGCGAAAT